ATAAAAAAAAAAAATCAAATTAAAAAAAAAAAAAACTATTACTTTTCCTTCTTGCTGTTCCAATGCAGCTTGAATATCTCTTTTAGTTATACGGTGATTATTTAGAACAAGCTGTGTTAGGCGATTGTGTGCTGATTTATCTAAGATTGGTGGCCTTCCTCGATGATCCGGTAATATTTGAGATGGGTTGTCAAGTCATTTTAACATATTCCCTACAGTCTTGGGATCACAACCAACAAGATTGGCAATTTGTCTATATGACTTGCCTAATTTTCGAGCAGATATGATTTCTTCATGTTTTTTTTCTGTAAGTGTTATGATTTAAGCTTGTAAAATGTGAAAGACTAATGAAATATATTTATATTTGCAGGTTTTTTAAGTAATGGCTATAACTAATTACTTTATTTAACTCATTCCAAAAAAAAGATACCTGACAAATAATTGTAAAATTACTAAAATTTTATGTAATTCTGTATGCGAAAAGTTTTAGTAAATTAAATTTAACGTAATCGTTGAACATATGTATTAATTTGTCAATAAATTACCAAATATTATTTTTTATTTTATTTCTTATTTTATTTTATTTTATTTTATTATTTATTTATTTATTTATTTCATAAAAAAGCTGAGTCTAATGCGTAAGAATTACCAATATTACTGTATTAAATGCAATTGTATACCACGATAATTTTGACATCAATTTCTAATAATGAAAACTATGCAAATGATCTTGCTGAAGAATACTAGTAAAAAAAAAAGACAAAAAAAATTTGCAACATCAAAATCGAATTGAAACAGAGCCCCACATAACCATAATAAACAAGATTTTAAAACATAATGTAGTTTAAAGGAAAAAAATGCTAGAAACTAAGATAGAAGATGAGTTGAATGAAAGTTGTTGCATTTGAGACTATCATATGTAATGATAAACCGGATGCCGCATAATTGAACAAATCTTTCTAAATGCATAGAACCCTCAACAAGTATACAAAAAGCACATATAGAACATACTAAAAGATACGTAGAATGCAGCAACAAAGACCACCCCCAAGAATATATAAAAATTGAAGACAACACTTTTAGAGGTAGGAAAGGCTAGATGCATCGATTTTCATGAATTTAATCAACAGTATTCCAAATCATACTGCTGAAGTTATTTCTAATGGAAGTTATAGCTGCAAATGCTGATGCATTATCTTCAATATATGTATTATAATGATATATATATTGCTGAATTGGTATATCGATATTTATTATTAATTTGTAAGCAATAAATTTACATGCTTAAAAAATTTATGTTTTTTCATATAACCGTGATATATTTTCTGAGGGTACTGTATATTTTGGATGATTCTATGCTTCAATAGTAAAATACCATAAACTTGATTGCTATTAATAGCTTGAGAGTTCAATGGTTGTCGAAGTGCTTCTTCTGTAGGTAAAACAAGTTTAGCAAATTCATAATTGACTTTAAATTACGATAAACTTCCACAGTATAATATTTTGGTGATACCTGCCTTTATTTGTGTTTAAATTATATTGTGAATATAAAAATTATCTATTAAATTAAAAGAATCGAGAAGCATATCTTGAATGTTGAAAAATCTTACTTGAAAGAAGCTTATTCAGAGAGGACCTAATTAATGGCCACAAAACGATTGCTCTGTAATAATATATACACTAAGATATGTAAAGGCAACGTAGTAGTTCAAAGTCTCCTAAAAATCAGATCTTATGAGGCTTGAAATGCATAAAAAGCCTGGTAGTCAGTCTAAAAAAAAATGGTGTATATTCTAAGATCTTTGGGTAAAATAATAAGGTAGTAAAATAACATGATGAACCTTATATTAATTTTACCTGTTGTTAATAATCATGTACTATCTTATTAAGTAACAAATGCTATAACAATAAGCTTATTTCAAAATTATGACTGAAACTAACCTATGTCGCATATGATCATTCTGATCCGGTGCAGCACTGTTGCGCAGTTATTCTTATTTAATAATAATGCCTGGGAATGCATATTCGGATAGATACCACTAAATAAGCTACGACGTGGTATTAAAATTAGCTCGAGAATGCATTTTATTTAGTCCGATTAGATAAAAAAAAAATAAAATGCATTTAAGTAAAGGCTATATATAAGATAGCTGAAGAATCGAGTATTTCTTTAACGATCATGTTACGTGATAATCGTGACAATCACCATCGAAATCATAGCGTAATGATACAAATTTAATAGAAAACTTTGACCTTAATTATCTCGGCTTCTAGTGATTAAAATCGACCGATTTTTTTTTATTTGTAAGTACTATTTCTCCTCTTCAAAATAAAAAAAAAAGTTTAAAGTCCGTCACTGGTTGCTGAGATAATTAAGATATACGATAATGAATAAAATTTTACATGTTAGGATAGATGATTCGAATTATCTTAGCAACTAGTGATTAGATTTTAATAATTTTTTTATATTTTATAGAGGAAGTATGTAT